AAGTTAAAAAAGTTTCAAAAATCCAATAGATTTCGTTCCACTTCACAATTGTGTCCCACTTGTTGGTGATTCTTCACATAAAATAAAAAATGTATATCTTTATGTTTGAAGCCTGAAATGTGGCAAAAGGTTGAAAAGTTCAAGGGGGCCGAATACTTTCGCAAGGCACTGTATACATAAAAACACTAGGCAACCCTACTGGAGGACCTCTGCAACCAGCAAAACGTAGGAGAGAATGTAGGCACTATTCCATGAAACTGAACTACCCCTTCTTTCCTAGTACTTGAACTTATGTGGAGTAAAGACTTGAGGGACTGAAGTTCAGCTGTTTTAGTAAAAATCTTCAGTCTTAATATTTGTCCAGTGAACATACTGTAACGCTCCGGGGTTCACGTGGGCACCCTCGCCGTTACCGCATCAGGTCGGCCCCCCACCGCCGGGGACTCGAACCCGGGCCTCCGGCATCACTCAACAGAGACCCAGCCACTTGAGCCAAAGGGAAATCTCCCATCAGCCCAGCAGCTGCAGTCCCTGCTATCCACAGGGAAGGGCGGTGACTTCACCGCTCTGGTAAGCCAGCTCAGCTCTCGCAAGCAATGGAGGCCGTATGTGTTACAATACGATACAGAGTCATTGGAGTACAGAGGGACAAATTCCCAGCACTTGGTTCCGATCCTTATTTTTTCATGAGGCAAGGAGCTGCCATACTCCTATTAGGAGCAGTAAGAATGGGTTTCTCTTATCAGCAGTCTTAAAGACTGACTCAAACAACTTCAGGAACCTAACCTTTCTCAGGCATCCTTAAAATAGAAGGATTTTATTGTTCGGTCAGGCATGATCACGATAATACGACCACCCGGTTAAAGAAAAAAAGATTTTTACAAACTGCTGTTAATTATACAGACAGTTGCTCAAAACTGCCGCAAAATGATGATGTTTGCGATCCAAGCATTCTTGCAATCCAAGTGGTATTGGTAAACTATAAACATTGCACAACGTGTAACATGAGATTTCAAAAACACTCCTGCAGCACTTAGAATATTCATATTCTCAACTTGGCATCTATGATGACTAGTAAGCCACTGAACCAGCGGACAACTTGAAACTGCATTAAAATTCAGGTCAGGAGGCACTTTACACAAAGGCTTGTGGGAGTCTGGAACAAGCTCCCCAATGATGCCGGTGAAGCTGATACTCAGGCTTTCAAGAGTATGGTTAGTAGGAGTAGGAATTTAGCAACTAAACAAGCTAGACGTTTTGTTCGCATCCTCTTATGTATGTTGGATGCCGAGCGCTTGCCCCATTTGGTATTCAGAATACTGCGGCCCAAAACCTGCACAGAGGCACTTAAGTGAACTGGCCTTTTCAAGCAATTGTATGGTGAGCACTCTGCACTGTGGAACAAGGATCTGATCCACATACAAATGGGACAGTGAGGAATACAGTGCCCGTACACATCACACATCAGGGTGCTTACCTCAGTGGTGTCCAGAGGACGCAGGCAAAACATGGAGTGTGATCACTCTCAGCCAAAGAGCTGGCCTCTAGTGTCTGTGTTCCCCATGGCCCTATTTGTACGTGGGCCAGGTTTCACTGCTTAGCTGTGCGCTCAGCTGTTCAGACACTGTAATCGGAACACTCTCTGTTCAACAACATTGCAACCTGAACCCTTCCTGCATGTGAAGACTGGGGTGTTGAGCTACTGTGCAATGTCTCAGGTGCAGTGTGGGCTGGATTCGAGTGGCCATGGAGCCAAGGACGGACTCACGTGTGGCCTCTGTGGTGCGGCGACTGTAGGACCTCCGGGCTCGGTATCGCACTACCAGCTCTCCGCTCTCCATCATGGGCTCAAACGCTTCCCTGCATTGTGGGGAACAGAGCGTCAGGGGAGACACACAGACACACACACAGACAGACAGATAGACACACACAGACACACACAGACACACAGACACACAGACACACAGACACAGACACACAGACAGACAGACACACAGACAGACAGAGACACAGACAGACACACAGACAGACA